ACAATTTGTAGAATTAGCTGGGCACTGAGAGAGGGAATAAAAAAAACTGAACACAAGCCCAGAGCTGCACCCTCTTCCCTTTTTTGATTGTTCAACATCACTTTTAAAAATGGGCCAATGAGTGGATACATAGATCTGAAGCTCAGAAAAAGTCAGTCTGGCAATATAAATTTGATTTTCAGTTCTTTAATCACTTCATTGTCCCATTAAAAATCTCTTCCCTTACATTTTCTTAAAAAGACAGATACTGTTTTTTATTTGCATTGTTTAGATTTGTTTTTGTTTGGGTTCAACTCCAGATTATATTATTTTCAACAAAAATTACATGTAGATAAGCCTAGGGAGCTGTTGTAATGATTGAGACCATGCCATTTTTTATGTTGGAGAAAGCTTTTATTGTAGGTCATAGTGTATACCTTAACATTTTTGCTTCTGAGACATGCCCAAACAGATGTTAGAGGTTTCATTTCATTGCATTTTGGCTTTATTAAAAGTTTATCTTAATTTATGTGTAGGGTAAAACTCAAATAGTGAAGAATGAAGTCTCTCCTCTTCCAGCTTACCGCTGTTTCTTTGTATATCTGCTTAGAAATTTTTATTGCTCCTATGTATTACATAAATCGTATCTCTTTATTATTTTAAAATCCAGTTGCACTGAATTTATGCTTTTACACTTTTTTATTTTAGTGTGAGAAGACAATAGCAGTTTTAAGGTGAAACCAAAACCTCTTGAAAAAAACAAAAGACAGATTAGTTTTGTCTTGCTAAAATTATCTAGTGACCTTTGGTTTTAAGCAATTGGGCAAATGTGTTCAGGTGATGGAGCATCTGGAAGCTCATGGTACTCTTTGAGAACCAACAAGAAAAGGTTTTACTAACAGAAAGTATGCCTGCATTGTATTATGAAATATAAAAATCACGTCACACTTCAGTACACGTTTAAAACCAGAAGTTGAGAATTGGGTATGGTTTGCTAATTTGCAGTTTTTCATTAATATTCATTTGCTGCTTATAAATTTGTTTCCTATTGTATTTTGCTTCAACATATGCTGGTTCTTACTAGCAGAAAATTGTATAGAGGTTTAGTGGGGAAAACATTTGGAAAAGAAACCCATTTTGAGAAAATCCTGCTTTGTTTTTGCTTATGATGTGTACATATGAGAAAAACTGCTGCAATTCAGTTTTAACTGGTGGAAAATCTAGCTCCATTTGCCAAGCAGCATCGTTTAGTGGGAACCTTTATTTGAAATGTTGGTTTAGACAGTTGGGCTGTCTGTGGAGATCTCTTAGCACCTGTGTTCTCTAACATCTTGTGTAACAGATGAGTAGCTTAACTCTGTTCTTTGATTTTATTGCAACCCTAATCTGTTTTCTTCTCTAGATCAGGTGTTAAATAAGGCAACATAGAACAGCGTTTTTTTATTAGCAGATCTTAAGAGTTGGAAGAAAAATCTTTCTAGTCTATTCTGTTACCCTTGGGAAATCTAAAATTCCATTATATGTAGATTGACTATTTGAACACTTTTGAGAGTGAAAGGGGTGGGAAAAATGCTAACCTGGATTCCCCTGGAACAACAGGTGTGAAGTGTAAGTGTCCTGGGAATAACATGTATGGTTAGTTATTAAACAGCCTTACCAGATCACCCTCCAAACTACTTTTTGCCATACAGAAAGGGTAGTACATGGATAGCTATAATAATTTTTTTTAATTGAATTAAAATTTATCTTGTTGCACCTACTAGCCCTTATTTCTGGTTCTGTCCTCTGATACCAAGTACAGTATGCAAAATATATATCTGCTCTATAGATACTTTTTTTATAGTTTTAAAATGGTATTTTTTTCTTCAACAAAATCATAGTTTTCCTTATATAGTAAAAAAAAAAAAAAAAAAAAACTGGGCCCAAATTAAAACAGAAAAGAAAGGAAATGAGAAGACAAGTTGGGGGGAAAAAGGCCATGCTGAACAAATCTGTCATGACTCTTCAGGAAATATTCATTTAAGTCTCTGGCTTCTCAAAAGCAAAGCTTCCAGATACTACATTAATATTTTATCACTTTTAGATAGATTTAAGGGCTATATTATGTATAGAAGACAGGCCAGTTAGAATAGTAAATTTGTAGAGAGAGCTACAGATATTAAGGTGACTCTCTTGTCATCTTTTTCCTTTAGACAAAAAAAAAATAATTTCACTTAGTATGTAATTTTTCACTATCCTGGTCTGTATATTCAAGACAAATTTTAGTTTTCATGTGCTATGCATGCTGTCTGGAGGTTGATAGTAGAAAGAAGTAGAATGATAGTTTTTGAGGTGAAATGTTGGTAAGTACAGAGTCTAAAGCAGCATTACATATAAGTTGATTCCCCACTCCTCTGTTCCTGTTTTTGTTGTTTGATAATTTTTAAACAATGTAAAACAGAATCACTGGGCAGCATAATTAAGTGTAATTATTCCCAAATGGCATTTTATAGTTTGATAAACATGTAATTTGATTTGAGACCTTGTATGGATATATTTAAAAGGCTATCACAGTAGGCTGATTTATAGAAGCACTTTAATTGCTTGCAAAGACGTAAAATTACAATGTTGCATTCAAAGTAAATTGGAAGTTACTTGCTACAGTGAATAAACTCGTTGACTGAGTTATTAGGTTTTACCATTGATGCATATCAAATGTTTACTGTATATCATAATCTTGTAAAAATAAAGCTGTAGGCGTTAAGCAGGGCATTTGGAATAAATTAGACTATGTTTCATATGTTCCAAAGCTTTGTTCCTGAGCCATATGTAAAAAATGCCTGTTGTTACTTAAGTAAACCTTGGCAGGTGTCAAAACTGACTTGGTCATTGTGGGGAGCACATTTATGTACTGTATTTGATATGAGGATTTTATAACATAAGAGTAGAATTGGAGAGGAGTTATTTTGTTACAGATGATTTTTTTCTTTGTAATGTTCATTGTATCTACACTTGATCTTTAATGCTTGATGTGAAAAAGTAACTTTTCTCTTTTTGATACCTTCACTGTTACTTAGTTGTTTAGTTGAAACTGCCAGGTAAATACCTATATTTACGTTTGTCTTATCTTGCCCATCTAACATTTTTTGGTCTGAAAGTCTAATAAGTTAAAGGTGACTAGCTTAGGCAGATCCTCCTGACTAGAATATGATGGACAGCACGGGTGGTGCTTTGAACTGCTGCCCTCAGCAGGCAGTCCTTTAGTGTCTCCTTGGAAAAGTGCTACAAGGAAATGTAAAGTGGGTACAGAATTCATGTTCTCATTATTTGAATTTAGAATTCAGTCTGTGAATTAATTTTATCATTCAAACCTTGGTGCTGTGATGTCTGTGGAAAGGGGTGTTTTAATAACTTAATAAATGATTTTGGGTATGTTTATGATAGTTCTGTTAAAAGTTCCACATTTATTAACTAACAAAAATGTTTTTGTAGTATGATCACTTATTAAGACATGCACATACAGCATTGTACTTATAACCTCCCTTTTACTTTGCATATACATTTTTTGTTTTTGAGGCAAGTTAGTGACTTTATTGCACTGATAGTACTTCATAATTTCTGTTTTGAGTTCATAAAATAAAGCATACTAAGTAAAGGGGAAGAAGGAGAGACTAAGATCTATTAAGTGACTTCTGTGCTAGTTGTTATGCTAGATGTTGAACAAGTAGTGCTTCATAACACTGTGAGGATTTGGGCTGCATTCAGAATCTGTATGTGAATTCAGAATCTGTAAGTTTACCAAAGTTCCTGAAAGGTAGAATAAGAATTTACATGCTATTCTTTCTAAAATACAGAATCCTTGTTTGTATGGCTATATCACAGCATTCAGTTTGGTATTTGTAGTAGTTCTGTGACAGAATTTCTTTGGAGGAGTTTTTAACAATGAATTTCTTAAGGTATTAAAATTGATTAATACTGAAAACTTATAGTTTCTTTTCAAACTGAGGGTCCAGTTTAAAAGTTTCTTAAATATCTTAGTAAGGACTTTTTTTCTAAATACATTTAAGGATCAATTATGGTACCTCCTTGATGAGGTACTAAAGAATGATCATTTTATTAATAAATTACAAATAAAGTAAAAGATTTGTAGTCAACACTACTTGGGGTTAATTTCTGACTTTACCTTTCCAAACTGTTGTGATGTTTTGCACATTACTTTTTTTTAATTTCATTTACTCATATGTGCATACAATGATTGGGTCATTACTCCCCTCTTCCCCCACCTCCTCTCTTTCCCCCTACCCTCTTCCTCTCCCCCTGCACATTACTTTTAAGTCTCTGTATTTTCAGGGTTTTTTTGTCCTTTAGTCACTGGGGATAAAAACAGCATCATAAGGATGTGTAAGGATCCTTATGTAAGGTTGTGAGGATCAAATTAGATAAATGACTAAAAATTTCAACCAGAAAAAAAGATTTCAACATATTATTCTAACTCATTGAGCTCTCTATAACTTAGTCATGATGAGGAACATTTTTTAGAATGCTAAATATACCTGAACTCATTTTACTTTATAAGCATTTTTTTTAAATACTTGGGAGATCTACTTAAGAGTACTGCACATTTTTAGAGTGCTTACGCTTGTTATTCCATTTCATTAATTTAGTTGCCGTTTTGAGTTACTATAAATTCAAGTGTAGTAGAGATGGTATTTTGATTTTACTTTCCTTTGCAGTACAAATGTAGTAATTGATACATGGTAGACAGTTAATATTTATCATAGTTTTATGTGCGTTCAAATCTATTTTGAATTATAAAACTTTCTATACAAATTCATAACAATATTGAACTTCATCTTTATTATAAAGAAACTATCAAAATTTTAAACTTTTAGGTCTTTTAAAAATTTTGTTCAGTTTTTAAAATACTGTTTTCTTTTGTGTTTGCTCAAAAAGTAATCCTTTGCCTGAAATGATCTCTGAAAACTGGCTTAAGTTAAAAAATAATAAACAGCATTCCATTAATTCTTTTTTCTTTCTTTCAGCTTCATAATGAAGAGGATAATTCAGAATCAGCTGCTGTAGAACAGCCGTCCACTTCAAACTTAACACACCAGACTGTGGAGGCCACTCCTTCCTCACCAGTAGTTGAAACTGACTCTTCTCCTCCACCTTATAGTAGTATTACTGTAGAAGTACCTACAACTTCAGGTAAAAAACAGCTAGTAATTTTTTTTTTTTTTTTGGCAGTATGGTTTGTGTAGTTATCAAGTCTTCTAATGGGCTTTTAAGCATGTATACACATAGCCATACAGGTATATGCATGCATGCATACATACACATATGCAAATATATGTAAATGTATATATGTGTATATACACATATGTCTGTATATATATGTATATATGGTTATATATTCATAAAAGTGATGATGATGAGGGTTTGTGGGAACCTGGGAGTATATGTAATTAGAGGGGAAGAATGTAGTGTTATCTCATCATACACAAGGTCATAATTCTTGAGTACAAAGCAGTGATTCCCTATTGTTGCTGTTTTTCTTCTCTGTTCAAACCATTCTAGAGAACTAATCAGCTGTGTTGCTGGCCCAACTTGTATTTTTTTAGCAGTGCTAAATTAGTCATTATGATGAGTTTTGTGTGCTATTATGATTTTGTATTTTATTTGACTTGTAAAATTGTGTGATTTTGTATACTATTATAATTTCTCCAAGTCTGATAATTTCTAAATAACATCTAAATAACTTCTCTAAGTATTTTGTATATTTCTCACTGTATGGTGCCTGTGTCACAAGAGCAAGTATTCTGTGAGAAAGCCAGATGGAAACTGTGTCACTTGTTATGATATTGCCTCAAAAGTTTCATATTTATAGTTTGTTAGAAATGAGTCTGAGTTTAGTCCTTCTTCAAAAAGCAAGGAATTAGTATCTACTTCTTTATGAGAGCAATTTCAAAGAAATTATTAACTAACTTTAAAACTACAATTGCATACTTCCTCTTATTCCTTCCATCAAACCTTCTCTTTCTACACTTGTCCCTGTTTTAATAAATAGCTCCAGAAATAGGCCAGAAACCCTCTGAAGTCATTTTTTGGGGTACCTAATCATAAAATTACATGATTTCTCTCCTTTAATTTTTGTTATAATGAAGTAAGTTATTAGTAGATTGAAAGAAAAATTTCTGAGACAGGGTCTTGCTATGTGTTGCCCATGCTGCCCTGAAATGCCCTATGTGCCCCAGGTTGGCTTTGATTCTCCTTGGTTAGCCTCTTGAGTACTGGGATTGCAGGCATGAATCACCACACCCAGCTCTTGATATTTAAAAAAATTGATTCTTCCCTACATTATGTCATGTCATTTTCTAATTTCTAAACTCTAATACTTAGAGTTTTTGCAACTTATTAATAGAATCTATAACTTTATGTGCTGTCTTTGTAGTTTTGGTATTAAATAACAAAAGAAATTGAGAAGTGTCTCATTTTTCTATGATTTGGAATAATATTGATAATACAGTATATCATTTTCAAAGGTTAAATTTCATCTGTAGAACCAGTTGAGCCTGGTATCTAGATATCCAGTTACTCTTAATAGTGTTGACTATTTAGACTGGTCTTTTTGATTTGTTACAATTCTTGCTTAAAAGGTCACTTATGTCTTTAATTGAGCACAAGAATGGAATAACTGTAGAATTTGGTCTCTTTTTAGTGAAAACTATTGATATGATTTTTTTTCAACTTCTTAATTTATGCTATTATATGCTAAGTATGATGTTTGCTAGTTTTCTCTATTAGGTTATTTTGTGGCTTGTTTTTCTAGATCTGAGCAACATCAATAATAATATGTGGCATTTGTATGTTTCATAATGTATTCCTCTAGAATACTTTTTTATATCCTATGTTAGTTTTATGGATGAGAAAGTAGAGCTTCATAGTGCTTAAGCGATTTCCTTGATATTATACACTTTCTAAAGAGGTCTTGGAGCTAAGCTTCCCAGACTTTAATCCTGTGTTTGAGAACCACTGCCTTACAGGGTAGAAGATAATAAGAAAATTAAAACTATAGCAATTAGTGCTCCTCAGCTTTCATGTATTAGTGCTGGGGATTTTTTTTATATTAAAGATTTTCAAAAATTAACATTTATCGATTACATATTCTAGGATAACATGTATCACTGTTCTAGTTTTTAGAGTTATTGCCTTAAAATTCATAACTGAGATTTTGTTTCTGTTATAATCTTAGCACTACAAGAAAGCTATTTAGTTGACTGCATGTGGTGTTTTTATGTCCCAATGATTAGCGTTTTCTAAGAATTTATGACTCTTATGTCTTCTGATGGATAACATTGAAAGTTATACTGCCATTACCACTTTCTGTCATTAGATTAAAAGCAAGGTAACATGTTGATGAGAACAGTTGCAAAAAACCTCTTATTTATAACATTAAAAAATTATTCAGAAACATATATTTCTGAAAATACATTAAGAAAAGTATCGTTGAAGTAAAATGTGTTTTCATGTTGGAAATCCAAGAAATTCTGATAAAGGTAGAGAAAATGATAAACTACTGTAGACAATATGAAAATATTGTAGTTAAAATGGAGGGAAGTATAAAAGTGATGTCAAACATAGTAGAACTTAGAATTCACCTTTTTTTCGTGTCAGTGATACTAATGTAAGTCTAATTAGTTGTTTGACCTGTATAACTTTACTTGTTTTACTTATGTTAGAAATAAGTGATACAGTTTTATTTTTAAAATAAGCAGTATGTATTTACTGTTATGATGTCTTTCTGGAAGTAATCTTTCAAAAATAATTTAAAAACCTAGAAGAGAGAAATCCTTCATAAAAAGAAAATCTAAAGAAGTTCATGGATATTGGGAATGGGAGGAAAAGTGACAATAGTGAGAAAGAACGAAAATCCACCAGTCTTCAAGCAAGGAATTCTTAATTTACTTAAGAGATTAGAGCAGTTGTTGAAATCAACTACATAAAAAAAATTACACCTTATACATTATCAGAGCAAAGTATTTGCAGTCTGGAACTCCGTGGGTCTGCCATTTACTGGTTGTTTAGCACTGGGCAAGTCACTTAATTTTTTTGAGCCTCAGAGTTCTGAAATTAATGTAGAAAAAAGTGATACATGAAATGTTTAGCATTGTATAAATGTTGGCTATTAATTCTGATTTTTAAAAAAGTTTTATTATATAGTTTTCACATTGACTTATATGTGTATACATTATTTGCCCTTCCACCCTACCCAGTTTCTGGGCAGAACCTGTTCCACCCTCTTGTTCTTTGGTTTTGTTGAAGAGCAAACATAAAAGATAATAAGAGAAACATAGCATTTTTGCTAGTTTGAGATAAAGATAGCTATACAGAGAGATTTCTTGTGTTGTTACCATGCATATGTGTATTATAACCCACATTAGTTCATCTGGCCATACCTCTTCACTTCTTCCTAGTCACCTTCCCATAGTGGCCTCTGCCAGTTTAAGATTACTATATTCACTCCTGTACAATGAGTCTGTCAACCACGTTCAAGGTTTTAGTTTCCTTTCCTTTCCCTATCCCTCCTGTGTGTAGTCTCTCCTTAGTGTGTGACCCATGTCCAATAATATTACTGCATTTGTTTTAGGTCTTTAATCTGAATATGAGGGAGAACATGCGATTTTTGGCCTTCTGAGCCTGACTAACTTCACTTAAGATGATGTTCTCCAGTTCCATCCATTTACCTGTGAATGACAAAATTTCATTCTTTATGGCTTAGTAAAATTCCATTGTGTATAAATACCACGTTTTCTTAATCCATTCATCAGTAGTGGGGCATCTTGACTTTGTCCATAGCTTAGCTATTGTGAGTAGTGCTGCAGTAAACATAGATGTGCAGATGCCTTTATGGTAATCTGAGTTGCATTCCTTTGTGTATATCCCTAGTAATGGTATTGCTGGATCACATGGCAGATCTATGTATAGTTTTTTAAAGAAGCCTTCATATTATTTTCCATAGTGGTTGTACTAGCTTACATTCCTACCAGCAGGGTTACTTTTTTCCACATCCTCACCAACATTTATTCATTGGGGGTGTTCTTGATGGTAGTAATTCTAACAGCAGTGAAGTGGAATCTTAGTATGGTTTTGATTTACATTTCCTTGATGGCCAGGGATGGTGAGAATTTTTTTAATGTGTTTTTTTGGCCATTTGGACTACTTCTTTTGTAAAAGTTCTGTTTAGTTCAGTTGCCCACTTCTTTATTGGTTCATTGATTTTTGGGGAGTTTAGTTTTTTGAGCTCCCTTTATATTCTGGTATCAGTCCCTTGTGTGATGTATAGCTAACAAAGATTTTCTCCCATTCTGTGGGCAGTCTCTTCAATTTAGAGACCATTTCTTTTGTTGTGCAGAGGCTTTTTAATTTCATGTAGTCCCATTTGTCAATCCTTTCTCTTAGTTGCTGAGCCACTTGAGTTCTACTGAGGAAGTCCTTGCCTATACCTATTGCTTCCAGAGTTCTTTCCTTTACTAACTTGAAGGTTTTGGGTCTGATATTAAGGTCCTTAATCCATTTTGAGTTAATACTAGTATAGGGTGACAGGCATGCCTCTAGTTTGTTTTCTGCAGGCAGATAGCCACTTTCCCAGCAGAAGAGTCTATCTTTTCTCCATTGTATGTTTTTGACACCTTTGTCAAAAATTAGGTGGGTGTAGCTGTGTGGATTCATATCTGGATCCTTTGTTCTGTTCCACTGGTCTTCATATCTGTTTTTGTGCTAGTACCATGCTGTTTTTATTGCTATGGTTCTATAGCATAGTTTGAAGTTGGATATTGTGATACCTCTAGCATTGCTCTTTTTGCTTAGTATTGCCTTGGCTATTCATGGTCTTTTGTGTTTCCAAATGAACTTTAGGGTAAAATTTTTAATCTCTGTGATGAATGTCATTAGGATTTTGATGGAAATTGTGTTGAACATGTAGATTGCTTTTGGTAGTATAGCCATTTTTACTATGTTGATTCTGCCAATCCTTGAACATGGGAGATCTTTCCACCATCTATAGCTTCTTCGATCCCTGTCTTCAGTAGTTTTGTATGTAGTTCTTGTAGACGTCATTTACATCCTTTGTTAAGTTTATTCCTCTGGGTATTTGATTTCTTCTCAATTTGTTCATTATTGGTATATAGAAAGACTAATGATTTTTGTAAGTTGATTTTGTATCCTGCTACTTTGTTGAAGCTATTTATAGTGTCTAGGAGTTTTGGGGTAGAGTTTTTTTGGGTCTTTAAGGTATAATATTATGTCATCTGTGAATAGGGATAGTTTGACTACTTCTTTACCTATTTCTGTTCCTTTTATTTCTTCTTCTTGCCTTATTGCTCTGGCTAGAAATTCCAGGACCGTGTTGCATGGGAGTGGGCAGAGTGGAAACCCTTGTCTCATTCCTGACTTTAGGGGAAATGGTTTCAGTTTTTCTCCATAAAGTATGATTGATTTGTGTATGTCGAACCATCCCTGCAACCCTGGGTGAAGCCGACTTGGTCATGGTAAATGATCTTTCTGATTATTTGGATTCAGTTTGCCATTATTTTATTGAGGATTTTTGCATCAGTGTTCATTAAGGAGATTGGCCTGTAGTTCTCCTTTTTTAATGTGTTCTTGTCCAGTTTTGGGATGAGTATAATACTGGCTTCATGGTACGAGTTAGGCAGTGTTCCTTCCCTTTCTATTTCATGAAAAAGTTTAAGGAGTGTTGGTATTTTTCTTTAAAGATCTGATAGAATTCAGCAGACAATCTCTCAGGTCCTGTACTTTTCCTTTTTGGGAGATACTTTATTGCTGCTTCAATTTCATTTTGTATTATAGCTCTGTTTAGGTGGTTAATATCTTCTTGGTTCAGTTTTGGATGGTCATAGGTATCTAGAAATTTGTCCATTTCTTCCAAGATTTTCTAATTTATTTGAATATCAGTTCTCAAAGTAGTCCCTGATAATTCCCTTGGATTACCTTGGTGTTTGTTGTTATCTCCCCTTTTTCATCTTATTTTACTAATTTTGGTCTTTTCCCTCCTCATTCTACTCAGATTTGCCAGTCTTGTCTCTTTTTTTCATAGGACCAGCTTTTTGTTTCATTGATTCTTTGTATTTTTTTTTTTTTGGTCTCTGTTTCATTTGGCTGTGAGATAATGGGCAAGTAAACTAATTATTTTGTATATACTAATGAGCATGTGGAAGATGCTCATGTGTTCTGAGATTCTTACCTCCCTTGTCTGAAGCTCCTTTTCAAAATCTCTTGAGGCCCTTTTTTACTGTATCAGTCTTTACAGGATAATATCAGTCTTCCCTTTATAATAAATACAGGACCAAAGTAAGTTATATGATGGTAATAGTATTTTATGTGTTAAATAGGTTAAAACATAGGACGAAAATAGCAATGGTAGTCTTTAGTGTCCCATTATAAATTATTAAGTTATGCTCATGGCTATAAAATTAAATTATTTTTAATTGTTCTATTCTCTTATAATTCTTTTTCTTCAGATACAGAAGTTTATAGTGAGTTTTATCCTGTGCCACCTCCCTACAGTGTTGCTACCTCTCTTCCTACATATGATGAAGCTGAGAAGGCCAAAGCTGCTGCAATGGCAGCTGCAGCAGCAGAAACATCTCAGAGAGTAAGAAAGTTTATCATTTCTTTTGACAACACTGCTTTTTGTTAATTTATTGTATAATATCAAAGATCTCTGTGTATTAGAGTGTGTATATAATTCCCCCTATATTTTTCTACCACTGCTTGTGTATGTCAGTTTTGGTGAAGTTGGCACTCTTTCTAGCTAAATTGACCTCCATTCCTTGACCTCCTCCTTTCTACTGATCTTCCTCTCTATCTCACCTCAAGTTGTACCATCTTGGAACTTGTTTTTTACCAATACATTCATCACTAAATTTTTATTTTAGATGTGTCATGTATTAATTTCCTATCCTTCTAACTCACTTGCTGTGATTACCACCTCCCTAACAATTCATCTTTCACTTGGCTCTCTCGTCCTCTGACCTCTTCACTGTCCATGTCCTTACTTTTTTCCCCTGATACAGTTTAAGCTTCATGGTCTCACTATACTCACAGGTCATCTTTTTTTCTGTTCATATCTTATGTATTAGTATACCCATTTTAATGAGTTTGTGAAATAACTCCAGATAAGTTAAAAAGCATAGAGAAATAAGTTATAAGGGCTTCATAATTTTTTTAGCCAATTTCCTTTTCTCTTTTAACATGTCTTGTCCTATAATTTTGGAATGATTGTGAAGGATTTCTTCTGCCCTTTCTCCCTCATTACATGTCAGAGATAGTCAGTGAGATATGTGTGTTTTATTCAAAAGGAGTGACTGTCTCAGTAGTGGAGAGGCAGCAAAATACATGTATGCTATCTGCAGCCAGGTAAAAGGAAGAAATTATTTATAATATAGTGTGACTGTAAGCAGGGCTAGAGTTTTTTGCCTTTTTTGTTTTGTTTTGTTTTCTTATTTCAAACTTTGTGTCATTTCAGATCCCTAGGTTCATTCCATTATTGTTCAGAAAAAGACAAAATATTACCTCATTTGGGAAAGCTGGAATTTAGATGAGGAGTTAAGGGAGAGAGAAGTGCTTCCCTGTATGGCATTCTTCTCTTGCCACTATGAGACCAGTGCCCAGTGAATAGATCACCTGAGAAGTGAGCATGTTACAACTCTTTCCATACTTGCCCCCAGTCCTATTCTCTAACACACAGAGTTAAATATCATATAGTAACAGTTACAAGTTAGGTAAAGAAAATAAACCTCAAATTATTTTTTTATGTCTTTCCTCTCTGAGGGGAAAGTAAGTCTCTTAAAAGACAGTAGCATGAATATAGTTCAGTTAATAAGGATTTTTGAAGTTGTGAAGGAGAATCATAGAGAAGAGAGATAGACCCATATAAAGTAGGGAGTTTCTCTGGAAGTGAACTATAGCTTGCTTAGAATACATAATGTGTGAAGGTGCACATGCTCATCTCTCAGTGAGGTAGATTAATTCCTTTTCTCAGGGATGTCTCCCTAGAGACATTGACAGTGGCAAAGCTCCTCAGCTTGTTCTGTAGACATTGGATCCTCTATTGCCTTAACTTCCATACAGTAGGATAGAATTATACAGAGAAAGTAGAAAGCACTACATCTTGCTGTCTTGACTTTGAAAAAAGTATAAAGATGACTTTATCCCTTTTGGAAAGAAAACTGAAGTGTTACCGTTCCATTCTGTCACTGTTACCATTTCTAGTACCTTGTTTCAGAAAGAGTATTCCCCAACCTGAATTGGAACATGTCCATGAAGAAAAGTTCCTGTTTTCACTGGTTTCTGATCTCTGCTCTTTTCGGTATTATAGAAAAATTCATAGAAAGCAAAGTTGAATTGCACAAAAGAGACTTAGGTCTTTGTAAATAATTCTTTTAAATTTATCAGTGCTTCATTCCTCAGTGTCCCAGCACCCCCTTTCTACATAGTATGTGTGTGAGTCTGATTCAGATTTGAAAAAACAGCTGGTACCTGAAAATTGCTGAGAATACATTTTTGTGTTCTCACCACAAAAAATAAGTACGTGAGGTAATGCAGTTTGCTCAGTTTAGCCATTTTACAATGTATATTTCTACCTAAAACCATATTATCACAGTTTTTGCTGTCTAAATCCTAGTTTCTTGTCTTCTGTTTTTCTGAGCTTCTACCAGAATTGCCAATTAAATTCTGCTTCCAGCTTTCTAGACCTTCTCTAGCACACCTCTCCAAACTTTTCCAAATTCCTCTTGCAAAACAGTTCCAAAAGCTTAAGAACCACATGGTCACACTGGGAACTGGTGGCTCATGCCTGTAATCCTAGCTACTCAGGAGGCAGAGATCAGGAGGATCATGGTTTGAAGCCAGGCTGGGTAAATAGTTTGTGAGAACCTTTCTGAAAAAACACCTTCACAAAAAAGGGCTAGTAGAGTGGCTCAAGGTGTAGGTCCTGAATTCAAACCCCAATATTGCAAAACAAAAGAACCATGTGGTCAGGTTTAGTCACAGCAATAACCTCACGTTCTCGTATCAATTTTCAGTATCATGGTTTCAGAGGATTCAGTCCATGGTCATTTGGCTCCATGTTTCTGGTCCTGTGGTATTGCCATATATCATGGTTGCAGGAGCATATAGCAAAGGCTGTCACCTCATGGTGGTCAGGAAATAGAGCAGAGCAGTTCACATCACAGTAGACATAAAGCAGAGTACACATTTCTGTTGTTGAGAATTATTGCCAAATTGCCACCAGAGATTCCACTAATGATTATGAAAGTTATGTCTTCTCTGTTTGACACTAATGGATCAGTGTCACATCTATCTTCTTGGTACCATTTTCATGAATTTGATGTTATTCAACTTGTTTTTACCTTTATTGTTATTCTTTTCAGGTGTCCCCATAAACAAGTAATGATTGCTATTTTTTGAGTACTTACTCTGATATCATACCCATCTCATTTTGTCAATAAAACAAATTGAGAGCACTAGTGTCTTTCTTTTTGAGACAAGGTCTCATGCTGTCATGCTCAGGCTGGCCTGGCATGCTCTGTAGCTCAGGCTGTCATGGAACTCACAATTCTCCCGCCTCAGTCTCCCAAGTGCTGGGATTCCAGGTGTATACCACCACACCCAGCTGAGAACATTGAACTTTATTGAAGTTCTTACTCTTAAATTTAAGATGATAAAATTATAATTATTCTAGTGAGCTGTTTTGATATTACATGTTTCACAGAATCAGGAGGAAGAGTGTCCACCAAGAGATGACTTCAGTGATGCAGACCAGCTTAGAGTGGGTAATGATGGCATTTTTATGCTGGCGTTTTTCAGTAAGTGATCTTTCCAAACTATTCTTTTTATATATGTTTCTTGTGTATGTTTAAAGTAATAGAGAAAAGAAAATATTATTAGCACATACCTACTACATTTAAAATGTAAAGTGTTCCTGATAGTGAACCAATGAAGATAAATCCTGTAATTTTCAAGTGCTTAATTGGAAAAGTATGCATTATAGCCATTAAACTAAATGCTGATAATATAAAGGTATATAAGATTATTTAACTAAGATTTTGTAAGAGAAATGCTGTTATATTGATATCCATTCAAGGCTGAAGAAATACATAAAGTGAAAAACCGTTCATTCTGCTTTGAGGGCAGAAGACTTTTGTGTGTTCTTAAGCCAGAAAGATTGAGGAAGGGGATATTCTGATCAACCAGAATAATGTCACTTGAGACACAAAGTTATAGAAGTGTAAGTCTTATTTGGGGGAATGGTACATAGTAAGAAATAAGAAGCCTAAGAAATATTTTAACATCTTGCAAAATTCCTAAATTAATATTAATATTTTGGCTTACAAAGTAGATTTAAAGTATGAGGGGCTGAAGATGTAGCTCTGTGCTTACCTGGCATGGCACACACGAAAGCTATACTTTGTGAGGGAGACTGTGTCATAGTGTATATTATTTCAGTTCCTAACAGAGAATAGCATGTAGTGAGTTCATTGAACAATATTAGGACACTCAGTAAACTTTAAATTGCTAAAACATATAGCAGAAACCTAGTACTTATTTTTAAAATTATTAGACTGTGGTTAATTCTTCATTCAATCTGCTTAAATGATCAAGTGTTCGTAATTTCTCAGATAGAATGGTGATTTAATTGATTTTAACCATAAGGTTTATTTTGATAAAACTGATTGTTTACTTATTTAAAGTGCCACATTCAACTTTAAAAATAGAAAATCCTAGTTAATGTGTTGTCACTTTTCAGTCTGGAAGTTGGCTCAACATTTCCTGCCATTTGGAAATGGTGTCTTGCTTCCCTTTTTTAAATGTCATCTACTAAAGAACATAGGTGGGTAGTGGGAGGAGGGCAGGCAGCAGGGTTTTTCTCTTCAAACTTATTCAGGTTGCTAGTGTATATGCAGTATTTAAATCTTAAATTGGTTTAAGTTATAATTTTTAGCTAGATATGGTAGATACAATAAAAAGGAAATGGGTTCTTTGGTTACAATGGCTGCTGTTTATTAGTATAGTTTTTAATCTTTGTTGTTTAACCAGTAATCCTTTATATTACTATCAAACTCCTCACATATTTTGTTTTAAAAAAGAATAGCTTAAACATTAATTCCTCTCATGGTTATGTCTTTTAAGAAATCTTAATAAGAAAGAGTACCAAGTTTATTACAGTATTTGTAGTGTGAACTTGCTTCTCGGGAATAAAAATGTTAGCTGATACCATTCTTTCTATGTTTCACTGAATCCTAGTATCTTTAGTCTTTATTTTTCAAAGTTGCAAACATTTCTCTAATGTAAATGTTGTAAGTGCAGGGTAGCTTAGACATACTAGATGACTTTATTTTTGGTTAGTTACTATAATATAGCTTTGTAATCTATTCATAGATAATAAGATAGATGTTATATATAAATGATTCAGCTTTTACTAAATTTTTACCAAAATTACATTTCTACAACTGACATATTTTACAAATATTTCACCAGTATTTTAACAATGAAATCATATTTTGTACCTTCATTTCTTGCTATATTTTTTTTGGTATGCAGTAATTTTAGAATTTACTTTGCTAAGTATGGATTTGTAATTACTACCATCTAGTGGCTATTCTTCAAATTGCAACTCGTTATATTTTTCATGCTCAAATTAGTAGTTGTTGGTAAAAAGTCTAGAAATACTGTTTCTTAATGTGGTTTATGACATAAGTATTTCAAGTCATATTTGTGCAAATGCAATGACGGTAAATATGAGTAAGAATATTTTAATTAAAGCCTCCTATAGGTTTAATTCTTACCTTCTTTATTTTCAATGTGTTTCAGTCTCTTAATCTCATGTAACACTAAAAAAAGTTTACACTTAAATTTGGTAATATAATTACATATTCTAGTTCAGAAAAATGTAAAAACACAAATGTATGTATCCTTTGATAATGTTTTTGCTTTTCACAATCCCTTAAGGTTTTAACAAAGTGCCTCATATACATGCCTAACCTGAGTTTTCTCTCATATTATTTTTAAGAACTGGTATTTTTAGAAAATTGAGTACAACCCAGTGATTCATCAGTTAATTAAACTCTAGTGATGAAGATTTGGTTCAATGGATAATTGGTAGTCCATGGGAATGATCTTGAATTCTTAGAAAACTCATTTTAAGATGCAGCCATGTGTGAGAATTTTCATATAGCTGGAATTAATGTCCTGTATCATTCCAATTTTAGACTTGAGGGAAACATGTTTAAAAATAAATTGTTATTTGTAACTAAAAAAGAATTAGAAGAGTGTTTTGAAATGTAAATTCTGAGTTGAAATTTCCACACTGTCTTTCAAAGTATATGTTCCATTTTGCAGTCTCACTAGTGAGAGTTCTTGTTACTATGTATCCTCACTAGCAATTGGTATTGACATTTTTTGTTTTTCAGACATTCTAATAGGTGAGCATCTTTAGTCTATAAATTTTTTCTGTAACTGTAAAAAGTTACAGTTTCTAATGGGGTTATATGGACACCACATATATTGTAAAACAAATTTGTTCTGTCCATGTAAAGCTGTTTCATATAGCTTAAAAGCTATATATTACGTATATATAAGATGGGGTATATATTGTAAATGAACCCACAAAAAGAATATCTGAGAAGCATAACTATACCTTAAGAAGCCCAAAAATATTTGTGAAGTATTACATTTTGTTTTGTTTTACCTTTGAAAAACAAGGCTGTTTTATTGACTGATCTTTTGGGGCTAGGACTCCATGGGAAATGTTTTGTGATTTGATTTTTAGCTGATTTAAATATGTAGTTTCACCCACCAGTGATAAGCTTTACGGAACTGGTTCATCTTGACTAAAGAGAAACTGATGAGAAACTAAGCATCCATTTGTGAACATACAGTCAATAACTAATATATTTGCAAAAGGTAAGTTACAGTCTATAAAGAAAGTTTTGATAGAGTTAAAAGAAAGGGAAATATTGTTTTATTTGAGGAATAAAGTATTGTTAAGGAAATTATTTCTCTGTTAATTTGTTCCCAAATTGTGACCTTTAAAAGAACTGTTTCTGTTGCTTTTAGTGGCATTTATTTTCAACTGGCTTGGATTTTGTTTATCTTTCTGTATCACCAATACCATCGCTGGAAGGTATGGTGCTATCTGTGGATTTGGCCTTTCATTGATCAAATGGATCCTTATTGTTAGGGTGAGTGTCTTGATAGCCTATATTTCTATTATCTCTAAAATGAAAAGACATAAAATTTTCTGTATGGTTCACAAATGTCTACTTTATATAAATGAATTCAGTTAATTCAAGACTTAAACTTAACTTCTGTCCTTAATTGTACTAATCTCTCATTTTATAACTTAGTTGTTGGTATAGTGGGAAAAATTTGACATTAGGAGTATTTGAGTTTGACTCTCATCTTGTTGTATCTGTTATCTCACTTTAGTTGTTGAATTGTCCTGAGCATTGGCTTCTTCATAATGGCAAGCCTCCTGGGATTTTTATGGGATGTGGAAAGCAAAGTACCTTGCCTAATTACTGTACAGACATAATGTGCTCAGTAAATCATGGTTTCTACTATTATAGAAACCCAAAATTTATTCTGTTTAGTAAAGTATTATAAATTTAAATATCTCTTTTTTTCTCTTTAATAACATTCAGAACTCAAAAGTCAAGGCCTATATGGAGTGGCTGTCAGAACTCATCTTTCTCCCATGTATTCCTTCTGAGATCTTTTCATTTTCCTGTTCCCTGAAATTGCCTGCTGTCTACTTCTTATCATTTACAAGAAGGTGTTTAGGGAGACAACAAAACATTCTTTTCTTTTCCCCAGCTCAAGAACTTTTCTAGTCCTAAAATAGTTTTTCTGTAAAGACTGCACAGAATAGTATCATTAGCATAATCATGCCCTAGCTCTTGAAGGCCTCTTTGGGGCTTTTTTTTTTGAGACAGGATCTCAGTATGTCACCCAAATTGCCCTCAAACTCATCCTCCTGTCTCAACCTCCTAAATTCTGGGATTACAGGTGTATACCACTATTCCTGTCTTGGGCTTCTTTTTACAAATATTTCTTCATAGGGTTTCTTTTAAGAATAAGGCCTAGGAGAGTAATCAAGAGTGGTGTTATTCATTGTTTTAGTCTTCTGAAGTTACCCATATGTATTATAAATGCTATTAAATAATTAATAAAATATGTACATTCTGTAACTCATGTTTACTTAAACATTAATTTCTACTGACATGAGCTAAATCTTGAAAATTTCAATAGAATCACAGGTCTAATATGTCAGTTTCTCATAAATGCTTCAGACACTTTGATAATTCTTTATTAAATTAATTAAAAAGTACCCATTACATAATTATTAATGCTTTTGTCATAATGCATTTATTCATTATGGACTAATTATTTACTGTTAAATTGAGTTGGGTGTCTGACTTACATCTGTAATCCTAGCTACTTGAGAGGCTGAGATTGAGGGGATCATGGTTAGAGGTCAGTCTGGGGAGAGAGTTTGCAAGACCTCATCTCAATCAATAGCTGGGCTCTGTAGTATGCGCCCATCATCCCATCCCAAGCTAAATGGCAGGCTGAGATTGGGAGGATGGTGGTTCTAGGCCAGCCCAGGCAAAAAAGTGTGCGAGACCCCATCTTAATGTTCCTAGTAAGGAGATCATGGTGGCTGAGCCTGACATCCCAGAGAAAATGGGAAGCATAAAATAGGAAGATAATGGTCTAGTCTAGCCTGGGCAAAAAAGCAAGAGCCTGTCTCCAAAATAACTAGAACAAAAAGTGCTGTAGGTGTGGCTCAAGCTGTAGAGCACCTGCCGTGTAAGCACAAAGTCCTGAGTTCAAATCCCAGTCCCCCCACCCCACCTCCCAAAAAAATCTGAGGCATTGTAAGAACTATCCCCTGGTAATTGCTTGTTTTAATTTTCAAAAGGTGTGGCGTGAATTCCCACTTTAAGCATAAATCTGTTAGGTGTTACAGAAAGTCAAAAGTAAAGATACAGTCCCTACCCTTGAAGAAATTATTACTAGAAAAACCTCAAAATACTTGGAACTAAGTATGTCCAGACTTAATTATGATACTGGCAAAATTAATTACTGCTATTTAAATAGCATTTCTCATCTGAATCACAGAACACAGAAAATGGTTTGAGGGCTACTTTCTTAATTCTCCTAAAGTTGATAAATTTCTTATCATTTCAGATGTGTAAGAGAGAAGTTAACCCATTACTTGTAGCCTGTGACTATAGACTATGAGAACCTAATTCTCTACTAGAATGGCAAGTTGAGAAAGTGTTAAGTAATCTAGTAATCAACTCTGGTTAACATGATACGGTAGGGAATTTGATATCAAACCCTGAAGTTTCTCAGTTTTTGAAAGGTACACACTAGCATCACGTTTGATCACCAGCACTGTTTAGTTTTGCTTTAAAATATGTTTGCTGAGTTGAGCTAATATTAACCTTTTAGTGTGAATCAAGAATGATATGAGAAGGATTCTTTTAAATATCCTTTTAGTACAATAACAATAGTTGCCATTCATTATGCTCCAGGCATATTTCATTGATGATGAAACTAAGAATAAAAGTCTCATAACTGGGACCCATCATGTGGATTAGAATTTATCCTGATCTCAATTCAATGTCTGACCTCCTAATTCTGTATTACCTCTTCTACGCTGAACTTTAACTATAACGCTCCAAGCAATAAATTCTGCTTGGAGTTTAGTGCTGAGAGAAAGATTTTCTCCTAATAAAGGGTACTTCCCTCTATTAGATGATAAATATTTTAATTCATACTACTGCTTTCCTTTTCGTGTTTAAGCTGCAGTGGAATCTCAGAGATCTTTAGCTCAGAGTTCTGATATTACTTCTGCCTAAGGCTTTTGATGTTATTGATGTTATTGTTTGTTTAAAAATGCTCATTTTTACTAAAATGAGCAAGTTATTTTTGAAAGTAGACAGGGTGTAAATTATATTAACAAATAAAATTAGATAAATTCTTCATGCTGATTATTTTTTTTCCAAACTTTTATTTCTGTAGTCTATGGGTTGGCTGCCCAACATGATTGCTTTACCTGTTAAAACAAGTTAGCACAACCCTATGATTTAGTATTTTAAAACTTTTTGACAACTTAGTAATAAGTCCAAAGCTTATTTCTTTATTCTTACATAATGACTCTTTCTCTTTGACTTGAAGGTGAAGATAATTATATTCTTCATTTGGGAGTAAATAATAACTAACTTTGTTGTGGATATTTTTGGTGAAGAATGACTCTTCATACTGTGGGTGCCTCTTACTAGGTACCATGAACAAAAAGTTTAAAATGTATTGTTTTGGTTCTTTATCTTTTATGTTCTTATATCCTCTAAAACCTACATGAAAACTTGATTTCTAATTATTAATCACTTGATTAAAAAGCAGCATATAATATAGTCCTATTTTAAACCTATTTTCCAATTTTCAAGCTTTCCTCTCATTGTACATTTTTAAAGATATGGGAGTATGTGGAATTTGCATGTTTCATTCATTTCAAAGTACTTTGAAATTTTGAATCTTTGGAATTTCTAGAACTCTAAGCTAAGAATTTAGATTATAGCTTATTTATCAATTGAAAATAATTTCAGAGAAAAATACTTTAAAAGCTTAAAAACAAATTCTGACAATCTTAGTTAAAATGCTTCCCAGAAGGTGACATTGTATGCAATTGGAAGTACTTTTGTTATTACCAAAACTATAAACATTTAAGCTTTTATGGAAATGATCAACAAGTAGTTGCAAATGCTTTTAATTAATTTCAGATGCAAGCAACAATTCTGTGTTTAACCAAATCATTTTTAGTTAAGTCAGATTTAATTTGGACACCAGTAGAAAGAGGGCAATAAAACAAGCTAACTTTTAGTAGTTCTAGTGTGGGTTATAATAAACACTTTCAAAAAATAATCATTTGGGGGCATTTTTAGGTGCTATGTAAATAGAGAAGGAATAAGGAAGAATTATCTTCAGTAACTTGAAAGAAAATTAGATTAAAAAAAAAACTTTTTGAATGAATGATATGTAATGTCTGGAACCTAATCACGGAAAAGATACCTGTGTCCTGTACTATCAAACCCTGCCTTCCATCTGTTTGTTCATTTCCCATATCACACAGAATATAAAACTGTCTACCATGGCCATTTAGCTGTTCTCAGCTCACTGTTGGGAACTGAATGCTAGTGCTTCTGGTTTGGAAATAAAAAGACTCTAATGAGTGGAAGGTCTTTATGTGTTTAGTATTTTGGGCAGTGATTAACAGTAGGGGGTATACAGAAGGTCAAAAGCTCTTCTTTTTAGAGGTTTTTACCAGAACATCCCCATTGGATAAGATTAAACTAGTGTGGCTTGTGGCGTTGATAACCAAAGCATCAAGTTGCTGTGGTGTGTTTGGGATGGTGATTGTGGCTTTGAGAGATTATGAAAAAAAACCTTACATGAACTTTTTAATGAGAAAATGTTTGATTTCAATATGTAGCATTTACTTTTCTTTCTTGCAAGAACTTCAAAATTTCTTTGTTTATAAAATATTTTTATATAAGTTTGCTATTGCAAAAGAGATTTTTCTCAGCGTGTCATTAGGTATTTTTTAATTTTTCCTTTTGTGCAAGTTTTAAGTGTTAAAGATTATATGAGGTAAATTATTCTGAAATTGATGGTAATCTATAATTTTCAAATTTATGTGTACAAATATGGTTAATACATTTATCTTCACTCCATAGTTTTCTGATTATTTTACTGGATATTTCAATGGACAATATTGGCTTTGGTGGATATTTCTTATACTTGGTAAGTTTATTCTTAATGCAATTTGGTTTAACTAATTTTAGATTAACTTTGGCATTTCCTGAAATTATAAGGTGTAAAAAAATTATGTTACTTATATGGAAATCATTTTTCTGCTGTAATAGTAATATTAAAACTCTTACTTTGGCTTTTCAACTAATTCTATATAGTACTCTAGATTTTATATATTTAACATTCAGAGGCCATCAATATAAAGAATCAGTAGCTAAATGATAACAGAATGCTATAAAATTTAAAAATTCCAACATGATTAAAAATAATAGCCTTTACTGTTTAACTTGGAAAATAAACGTATAATTTTTAGCATCTTAGGAAATCTGAGAGTAAGTTAGTTTGCGTGTTTTCTCCATTCTCTTATTTTTAGACCCTGGAAACATTCTTCAAGCTTTTGAAATGTGCCCTTCATTAATTATTAATCAGCCAGCATAAGGAATGGCTTCATGCTGAATGATCACAACACTTCTATTTAGTTTTTTCTTATTAGGCATATCTTTTATTAATATGATGAGTCTTATGGATTTTCAACAAATGTACATGTCAGTTAAATTAATCTTAAAATCACATACTTTATATTTCAAATATATTTACTGACATGAATAATATGTTTTGATTCTATTGAACAAAATTGCACCAGAAAATAATAGCATTTCAGTAGGTGGCAGTCTTCTCTGAGTTTTTATTTAGTTATGCCATTGGATCTTTAGGATAGTTTGGTAAATAAATTATTGATGTTCAGTTAATGTCACTAAATTCTTTCTTTAATAATTAAGGTGAAATTATTCTGAGTGACTATGTTGGAGTCAAACTTGTACAAGAGTTAAGCCAGTTTTATATTAATTAATTGTGTTCTGACTGCTTGAACTTTGTGCTTTTTATTGAATTTCTTACCTGAAAGTGAAAAAAATAAGTCTATTAAGTATTTAAGCATATTAAATGAGTATACTTGTTTATATGTACATTTATTGAGAGATGAAAAATCTTAGGAGGGTAACTGTGGGGCAGAGTAGAATGCAGAGAACAAATCCCAGTTCCACATCAGAGCCATAATCTAGCGTTCATTTAGGAGCATGTGAACCTGTAGTCAGTTATAAAAATGTTGCTCTCAAATGCCCTAAAGACGGCTGAGGATACTACAGATTGCTTAGACGCAGTAGCCGCTGAGTGACTGAGGTTTAGATATGAAATTGGCTTCTTTTAGAACATGTCTAAGCAGAACAAAATCTCTTAGAAACAGCAGCCTCACAAATGGTTTTGGTTTACATTTTTCAGTAATACTTTTGCATTTAGGAAATAATATTGTTATCTTTGAATAACATCTGGGATGGCATGAGGGTGGAATTAAGAGGGAGTCACAAATGGAGGGAGTTGGAATATGGAAAGCAGATGGCATTGGATTTAGCTCAAATTTATGCCCCTTTTTAAAGTTGTTGCGTGTATATGTCTTCCGTTTTTCCTCTCCAGTCTGTTATAAACATGCTTCATTGTTTAGTGCTTTGATTACTGTCTTGTAGTCAGGGTACGAATTTAGTTTTGGACTTTATATTTTAAATTCACAGATACTTCTCCTCTTGGTGAGGGAAGTTTCACACAAATGTGTCTCCTATTTCTGTTTTTCTTCCCCTACACTAATGAATATTTTTCTAAGAGTTGTATGCCAGAGGCTCATACTGATAATGTTAATGCTTCCATGCTTATCTAGTACTTTTTCATCTAAAACTTTGAAGCAGTTCATAGGCATTGCTTTTTTATTTATTAAAAATATCTGTGACACTACATGACAAGGCGAGTGCACACAAGGGAGGTATGAGGATAGGTAGGTAACCCGCCCCCCCCCAAAAAAAGTTAGCATTTGATGTCTTCAGTGCAAAGGAACTAATTCAGAACATTTAAAGCAACAGAGGCCAATAGGAAAAGGGGACTAGGAACTAGAGAAAAGGTTAGCTCAAGAAGAATCAACTTAGAAAGTAACACATACGTACATGGAAGCAATACTAGGAATCTCCCTATATAGCTATCCTTATCTCAACTAGCAAAAACCCCTGGTCCTCCTTATTAATGCTTATACTCTTTCTTCAACAAAATTAGAGATAAGGGCGAAACAGTTTCTGCTTGGAAGTGAGGGGGTGGGGGTATGAAGGTGGGGGGAGTAATGACCCAATCATTGTATGCACATATGAATAAAGGAAATAAGAAAACAAACAAAAATCTGTGACACTAATGATTATTTTAAAATGCTGTTTTATAAAGGATAACTGAGAGATATCTTAGTCATCTAATCTTCTAAGAAATCACTGATTTCTGTAAGCGGAATCAGTTTAAATGCATTAAGTTTCTTTGCTATTTAAGGAAGTTACTTAACAAATGTATATTTGATATGATTTTGGATTTTCATAGCTGGATTTGCTTTAATTTTATATTAATGTGGAATGTCAGTAAAATTTCACTATATTTCTTCATGATAGAGTAATCATTATCATGTAAAATATGTTATAGACTAGACGGATCCTATAGATTAACTTCTTTGAGCCGGTTGCTTCATGAGAAGCAAGCGGGTGTCCATTTGTGTGTCATGATCCCTTTCTGCATTAGAACATAATAACTCTATATTATTTTAATCATCATAGGCCTGCTCCTCTTCTTCAGAGGATTTGTTAATTACCTAAAAGTCAGAAACATGTCTGAAAGTATGGCAGCTGCTCACAGAACAAGATATTTCTTCTTACTATAGAGGTAAGAGATGTTCCCTCTGTGTGTTCACATTTACTAGGTACATATTAAATGCTGACTGTGTACTCATAATTTTTACTCAACATACTTAATGTGTTTCATACTACTAATAGCTTATTGAAGTTTAATAAATAGAAGGCATTTAAGATAACTTACATTTTTACAACCAAATTTCATTAATTTTAATTTTTAAAATACATAATGAGTAAGCTAAAACTTTTTGCTTATTTTTCAATTTTTATTTTTGTGGTGTTGGAGATTGAACACAAGGCTTTGTGCATGCTAGGCCAGCACTCTGTTCGTGAGATGCATACCCAGTGCTTGGTGCCAGGGTCTCTCTCACTACCTAACGCTGGCCTTGAACACAGGATCCTCCTGCCCTTTCCTCGGTAGTGCTAGGATTACAGATGTGCCCCGCCATGCCCAGCTAACACTTTAAAACATACTTTTTACACTTCTTTTAAAGATTGACCACAGAATGTATTTGAAGTAAGCAACTAGCACAAAATTTGAAGTCTTTGAAAAATAAACAAAATATGACAAATACTTACAAAATAATGTCAAAGTACTTACAGAGGATGGATGAACATTTTGCAAAAAAAACAGTGTGATGTCCACATAAATACCTGGTGGAAAGAAAAACTCCACAAATCTGTGATTAAAAGTCAGTTTGTTGCACAGTCATTTTAATAATCTGGATCAAGGAATAAGAATTGCATAAAGAAAATAGTTCTTTCACTTTTTTCTTTTAAACTTTCTTACAGAACTGGGGCTTGAATGTAGGGCTTCATGCTTTCTAACCAGGCCTTTTTCTTCTTGAGTCACATCCCCCAGTCCATTTTTTGCTTTTAGTTAGTTTTTGGATGTGGTCTTGCGTTTTTGTCCAGGGCCTGCCTCAGAACATGATCCTTCTGCCTACAGCTTCCCATCTAGCTGGGATTACAGGCATGTAACACTGTGCCCAGCTTGTTGATTGAGTTGGGGTCCTGCTTATTTTTTTACCCTGACTGGCCTTGAACCATGGTCCTTTTTATGTCTACCTGCCAAGTAGCTGGGATTACTCTGTATGTGTGGGTTCATGTGTTTAACCAACCATGGATTGAGAAACATTTGAAAAAGAAAAGCAATATCTATATTGAACATATAGACTTTTCCTTTGTCATTATTTCATAAACAATACAGCATTACAACTGTTTACTAAGCATTGTATTAAGTATTATTCATAACCCAGAGATGAAGAGACTTGAGCAGCCATGGCTTTTGGTATCTGAGGAAGGTTCTGGAACCAATCCCTTGTGGATATTAAGAGAAGGTTGTTTTCTATAAATAAATTGTGTGGTTTATGATTTGATTGCTTAAGTTTTTTATATAACTTTACATGGGTTGTTAAAAAGTACATATGCTTTACTTCGGCTGAAGAGTACAATGAATACAATTATTTTTCTAGATTATAGTAAAGAATACTTGTGAAGAAAGAATTTTAAGTGTTCCATTAAGATCCCACCACCACCAGAAGATGTAACATTTTCTTTTTAATCAATAAAATGTCCTTCCAGGCAGTGGCATTAAGAATTTGTCAGTATTAATGATAAGAAAAAAGGCAAAATAATTTTACTAATTTGAATGATATTCTGTGAGTAGGGTGATTATCTTGTATGCATTTTAAAGAGTCTAAAATATAATGTAAGTATTTTCTAGATGAATGTCTCTTATAGAAACTTTGTACTTTAGAATAATTTCTGATATATACCAGTTTATGTTATCTTTATCAAAAGAACATTATGTACCTTACATAATGGTGCTGTAGTATGTATTTTATTGGATTGTGAGTTAGGTGAGTATAACTTAATACATTTTAAGACTAATTTTTTTTCTCTGTCTCTAGACTGCATCAACCCAACATTCCTTTCTTATACCAATGTGAAATTTCCAAATCATCTGTAAACCTGCAACTTAATAGGATAGAAGACTGCTAAAAACAGAAGAAAAATTAGTGAACAAAAGATGCAACTTCAAAATTGAATGGCAGGGTGGTTTATGCTTAAAAGCCATTTCTGTTCAGTCCTTTGTTATTTATATTTCATTTGTTTTATTCATTTGCATATGTGCCTACTTAGATTTGCGTATACTTGAAAGAAACCATAAAGTTGTAGCTGGAAAGTCCAGTCATATTTGGTTAATCAGTGCTTGATATAATTGAAAGAGTTGAGTGATAAGGTCTTCTAGCATGCACATGCCATTGGCTTCTGACTTGATGGTTAGTGTAATAAAAATGACAATCTTAACCGTGTCAAATGCTTTAGTTTCCAGCTTTTAAATTAATCTAGTAATTCCATAAATGAACTATTCTTTCATAAATATACACATATATAAAGTTTATTAAAACCCACAGTGTTGATTATTAGGATATGTCATGGTTTTGAAAGTGATGTATTTAGGAAGACTTTTTCTGTAAATAACCATGCATAAATTACTTTTTACATTGTTTTCTTAGAAATTGTGTCTAGATATCTTTTTTATTTTAAATTAAGTGAATTTAAATATATACAGAACTTTGAGTGTTAAAGATAGAGTGGTTTAGAACAAATTTTAAGAAAATGTGGGCATACCAAATGTCCTTTAGAAGAAAAAAAAATTTAAGGGACATACTAGTTTTAGGAATTTTCAAATGAGAAGCTTGATTTTTAGAATTACCCATTTTAGAGATTCTTGCAGGAAGAGATTATATTAGATATTTATTTCATTTGACAGTTTTAAAAATTAATTTTCCAAGTAAGATATTCTCATTTGCATTTGCCTTTGTACCAGTGTAATGATAAGTTTTCTTTAGACATTTAATTTGTTAAGCTTAGCAAGTAAAATCTTATTTTAATAGCTTTTTGCTTTATGATTGTAGAATTAATTTGTAAAATCATAGCCTGAATTGAGATATGTGAAATATCTGTTTTCAAGTTATGAAATTAATGTGTGGAGTTTAGGGATTGGGTAGGTGGAGCGTGTGTGTGACCATTACTACAACTGGAATCTGCTTTCATTCATAAGCTACCACATCTTGCATCTTGCAAATCATTTTGTGTCTCATCTGTTTTTCTTTACAGTTTTATCTTTGCTTTTGAATGCCAACATTTAAAATGATGGAAATGATATTATTTAAACTTTAAAGTCACTTAATACAGCTATATAGAACATATAAAATTGATTGTTTATTAAATACTGACTACTACTAAAAGATACATCTAACTATTCAGGGCCATTTTTCCATTTCTGAAAAAATAAAGTTTATTATGCTTTATTACCTCTTTTGTATATCTCTATATTTTCTATTTTTTCATTGCCTTTGATGAATAAAACAAGTTTTGTTTGGTAATTGATCCTCCTATATTTTATTTTCCCTCATTCACTTTGCCTCTCCTGTGTAGAATTTTTATTGATTAAAGTACCTGTGTTACACCCCTGAAGTAAAGCAATAGCTCGGAGTAAAGAAAACAAAATACTTAATTTAGTTGCGTAATTTGAAAAATTATTATAATTGGACTGTCCTAATAACATACAAAAACTAATGCTGGAACTTTTTCTGTCATCTATTCATTTCCTGTAGACATCTCCTTTGTTCATTTAATAATTTATAAATAAATCTAAGCTTCAATACAGAGTAATTTTAAACTATTAAGAATTTCAGTTATTAAGCATCAATTTATTAAAATTTTAGTTTTTATGGTATTTATGTTTGGTTTCTGAATATGGATGTGTTACTTTTGGTCCAACATCAAAATTTCACCTCTTGTTTCTGTTGATTTCTGCTTCCCCAACTCTGTAAGTTTCAAGTATGCATGTCACCTAATCCTCCATAGTTGGCATAACAATAGTAATCTTACATCTCATCATCCAAGCAGGGGCATCAAAATGTTATTTTCAAAAACTCAGCATTCCTTTTGAGATTAATCAAATCACCTGCATTCTTTCCTTCATTTCCTGTGAGCTTGAATAGTCATTGTTGTGTTTGGGTGACACTCGACTACTCTTGCACTCTGCCTTAAAGATTGAGAATCAAAACCCATATTAGGGTGTCTGAATATTTTTAAATGAAAGTGAACTGGGGGGTTGGAAGTTAATGTAAAAATATCTTAAATAATTTCTATTGTACTTGAATCAGCTAATTATGCTTAAGATAATCCATTTTATGTAGTTATGCAGTAAACTATTTTATGCCAAAATACATTTTTCTATGCAGTAGATTCAGGATTTTAGAAATTTAAAATTAAAATATGAATTCTGTTTTACTAAGTTAAACTGAAAGTCTCTGCTTAACAGAAAAAAATGCCCATCCCTAGCATATTATTTGGAGCCTAAAATATCCCATTTTAGACATATCTTTGAAGTAGTTCATAGCTTTTAAATGTTAAAATGATAATCACAAATATTTTCAGCTAAACCTTTCATAACAAGAAAAATGGAGCCCAGAATATCCAATTGACGAACATTTCATAGTTTCTTAATTTAGTGTATTTTTCCCCAACTCGTATTTACTGTTTCCAAAAGCACAGAAGTAGTGACAGTGAATCCAATACTCTGCTTGAGCAAGGTGACGTATATATTGAGTTTGCTCAGAACAGTCCCATTATTCCTATTTTCTCAGCTTAAATAGTGCCTCTTCTCACTCTCAAAAGTCTCCTAATTGGGAAGACAAGTTATATATATGATCATCCTAAGAATAGTCATTCACTGTACTAAGAAGTGACTACTTAACGCACTGCCCTTGAAAAAAGGAACTTGGGTAGGGGTGGGAGTCAGTTATTATTGTTACATTCTTTCCTAGCCAACTATTTGTTTGGCTTGTCCAAGAGGCATAGTAATTTATTTTTTAAAGAAGTTGCTGTATTTGAATGATTCCAGATTATGGTATATAGTACACAATGGCTTTTATGTTTTTTTAACTGCCTTGAAATGTCATAATTGTTTATTCGTGAATTCAAATAGTCATATGAAATATTAGTGTATTATTTTTTAAGACCTCATTCTTGGTCAAGTTCAACTATGAGATGATAATGTGCCATTCATTATTTTAGGAATGTCCTTGCCCATATATAAAACATGCTGGCATGTATTTTTGTTTATTAATAAAGTTGCATAGATGTGGAAATGTCAATCTGTGATGCATCCTTTTGAAAACCAGTTTAAGATTCAAAATGTATTATCACCATGTCGGCCTCACCAACATGTTTGTGTGACAGACCTTTCAAGATTTCAGATAAAAAAGAATTGGGGGGAGAACACAGCATCATTTAGCTTGTCATAGTTTGTAGTTTAGTTTTTGATGAATGCAAAACAATCAAATGTGTTCTTTGCAAAGGATCAGTAGTCATTATAGGTCAGACCTAATCATGGGCTTTTGTTTTTATTTGGGACAGATAACCATAAATTGTGAAAACTTCAAGTTATTAAGAAAAAAAAACAGACTTTTTAAAAAATTAAAAAGAAAATGTTTATTTTGAAAACATATTTGCTTGTTTTGCTTGATGTTTTCAGCTTGACTTCTTTTTTGTCCACTTACTTTTGTTTTGAGGAATTGATCTGTCTGCTTCTACAAAATCCACCTGATTTTAATGAAAACTACTTTTAAAAACCCACTCCAATAACTAAATAGAGAAGAGATGAAATATTACTCCTTCAACAGCTTGAGGTTATAACAAGCCCAGAATCTAAGGTTATTTCCTGTCTTATCTCTTCATGCTTGCAAAGAACCACTTTTTACTCTCCCATTCCTTTTGTATGTGTTCATTTTATTTAAGTCAACACTTTCCCATCAGTGGCTTGAAGAAGCATAGTTTTCTTCTCTTCCCTTAGCTTTAACAGAGTGTAGAAAATTCAGCAACTGATTAAGAAGCTTATCCAAAGCTCAGATGAAATCTGGAGGACAACCCACTGCCTTTAGAATATAGAAAGTAGCAAATAGTCCTGTTCAAAGTGCAAACTTCAGAAGTGGAAAGAATACAGGGAAAGCATACATTCCTTGTGTGGATATATACATTATATAAAATATCCACTAAACTTATGTTTCAGCCAACTGAATTCTGGCATAACATAAAGGTTTGACTTAGCTACACAATCTATGTGATTTGGGCTGTAAAATCTTAATTCCCACCTTACTCATTCAGAAAGGTGACCTAAAGATTCATAATTGCTACCAAGCATCGGTGATCAGTCATCCTCATATAATAGGTAGCTATGGAAGAAGAGTGAAGTATCACTTAAGATACTTCACTTCCAGACTGTGGGAAAAAATATAGCATCAATACATTGAGAGCTATGAACTTTTTAAAAACAAAGTTTAAAATACTTGATCAAAAACATAAATATAGCTACATTTTATACCTATTTTCAAAAAATGATTTTTCACTTGAGAGTTTTTTTGGTTGACAAATGAGAAGAACTTTTAAGTGACACTTGAATCCTGTATTTCCCTAATCCTATGGGAACTCCAGAGATGAATTCTTACTTGAATAATTCTTACAGGACTTCTCCCTCTTCAGGGTAGTGACTGTTATTGAAGATGATGTATCAACTGAAAGTTTGCAGAATTTACCATCCCAGCCCCAATTTCCAGAAGATCCAACACAATAAATCTATCCAGTGACAGTACATTCCCTTCCAGAGTTGGAGTTCCAGGAATTTTGGTTCAGTGGCACTGTCAACTCCTGTCTTATCAGTGTGCCCTCTTACTGTTATTATTTCATATACGGTGCTAGGAGTCAATCCCAGGGTCTGTGTATGCTAAGCAAGTACCCTATCACTGAACTACGTCCCGTCCTTTTGTCTCTTCCTATGTAACTCTGTGTACATGTGAGAGAAAGTTGAAAATTTGGACATCTATATGTAAGATATCTTCCAGGGAAAGGAAGAGACATAAAATTAGATCTTACGGGGTTCATTAGCATTTCTTGAGAACTTGCTTTATGACCTCTGAGGGCCCTTCTGGTTTTAATGCCTTTATACTAACATGGCTCTACAGGGGCAAATTATCAGGACAGTGGCAATTTTTTGACAGGAATTTTATGCTGAAATGGCAGATATTTTCTCCATAATCCTGTGAAGTGGCAGAATTGGATTACTCTATCCTATAGTTGATTTTTCTTGTATCAACAAGTACAAAATCTTTCCACTAACCAACATTCTTTCTCCATCCTTGAGGAGCCTATGGATGATTGAGAGAGGCAGCATGGTGTAACAGGATGGATCTGGGAAATTGGTTAACCCAAGACTCAAATATCAACTCTTACACAAGTTCTGACAGTTTG